CTATCTTCAAACGATGCAAACGTTCGTCCAGATGGCACTTCTCAAAGCGGAAGAATCTTTTGAACATCTCGTCTTGCGTTCAGGTGATATTCAATAAACCACTGTTGCCGACCGAACGTCTAGCCTCCTCTTATCTGTGTAAGAAATGCAGTTCCTCCAATTCTTGCCGCGGCAGCGCGCCGAGCAGTAGGGGGTCACGTATAACTAACTCCCTGTAAGTCATCGCCGATTTCCAGCATTTGAGTTGGGCAGAAAAAGAGCGGAGCACGAAAATAAGTCTAAGAAAATGGCGCTGCTGTCCCTGAGCACGATACCGGTGTTGGCCACTTGAGGCAGCTTGTAATGATATATCAGAAAAAACAAGAGGGCACGCGCATAGATTTGATCGGTGCCCATGGTGCGCGAGCTCAAGTACGCCGGTAGCTTTGACTCCATAGCCAAGAAACGCTGTCCCTGAGTAGCAGGAACCGGTTAATTCCGATTCTTAGTTTTATCATTATTCCACTTAATTGCGCCACCATTTGAATACATATATATTGCCGACAACTTTTGTCACCAGTGCATACTCCTGTCGAGCTTCGGTACCGCGGTACTTGCGATGGCTCCTAGCTTCTACTGTGCGCTTTAAACACACCATCGAACTCGTCCTCGCACCCGATGGTAAGTAGCCAGAATGACAACTTGTGAAGTCACGGCGAGGCAAATCCCAGTCGTGACGTCACGGAGGGAAACCATAAGAGGGCGCCACCGAAACATCTCGACGCTAATAGCACCAACCGCCAGGATCGCAACATCGGACAGCGAGACACTACGGCTTCTTGTTTGACGCCATTTGGTACCACTTCGGAACAATTTTTGATGCATGGGTAGGATAGGATGCTAAATAGCTAAATGACATCTATGCCTATGAGACATCTCCGACACCAGTCGGAGATGTCTCATAGGCACAGTAAATTTTTGAAGATTATTTGTTTTTACATACTGCATTCCCAATGTGGCTGTTGCAGGAATGGGGATTAAGCAGCGGCGTAGACTTTCCATTTTTCCAGTGGGGGGGGGGGGGGGGGGGGGGGGGGGGGCAGGCTGGGAAGTTCTCCAGGGGGGGATGGGGATGCTTTTCCACTTGCGCAGAAAAGCACCCCCCCCCCTCCCCACCCGGAAGTACGCTGGGATTCCATTTCCCACGTATTTTGTCAATAAAGCCAGCGTGGGCATTATTTTGTTTACATGCCACTACTAGAAACTCGTTACATGACACGTAAACAGCGTCTCGGTAAGGACCATGGCCCGGACACGGGGGGCACGGGGGGGGGGGGGGGGGGGGGGGCACGGGCCCCGATGCTTAACCTGTAGTCTACGCCTATGGGATTATGTTCAGACACTAAAGACACCACAAGCAACCACTGTCAAGGGCACACAGAAATTCTTCAGGTTGTTGCAATCGCCAAGGAGAATGCTGGGAGCGAGATACATGCGCTGCACGCGCTGGCCTTTTCGGTATAAAAGATTCGATGAAAATAGCCGCGTTGATGCATGCACGTGTAATGTGCCACAAGTTATAAGTTTTTGCATCAGCACAGTAACTTCTGCAAAAGGCCGCACGCGCAGCCCGTGTAACCAAATCCCCTTCGTAATTTAGCAAATCTGCGTTCGATCTCACCATGATGACGTCATTATTCTAGTGCATAGGTTTTAATTATTCAAAATGGAGTTGCTTTGCTCCGATAGTGCCTCCACAGAATTAAAAGGGGGAAAAATATTGAATCATTCAGAAATGCAAAGAGCGTTCAGTCGGAGACTTGAGATGCTACGATGATGCCCCTAAGGAGACGCCGTTGTCGTCTGTACTTACCAGCACAATGCGAGCGCCAGCAGCTGCTTGCGTCAATCTGTTGAATATATCTTGATGATAGACGCAAACAATAAAAGCAATCGGAATGCCTCCTGCCGTGTCAAAGTCTTGGATGTGCTGTTTCGCACTGCGATGCAAGCAGGCATTGTTCCTTCGTTATCAAAATCCTTTGTGTTGTCAATTTGACCTTTAAATGCCCCTACGCACAGTTGCGTTTGAGAGCGTTCGAGTGCGTTTGACTGCGTTGCGTCGAGAACACGCTGGTCGAGAAGCAAAAAAAGCGAGTCGCCGGCACATCTGTGCTTCGTATGAAGCGTGAAATCCAATTCAAGGAACCATCTTGGCACGAGAAATAAGAAGAAAGGATTTCCTGGTTTCTCGCAGCCGTAACGCAGTTAAACGCACTCAAGCAGTCTCAAACACAACTGTGCGTAGGGGCCTTTAGATTCAGAAATCGAAAGTCTGGGAACGCAATGCCGCGCTTCCCCGTTCTTGGGCAGCGCACGAAGAGGCCGTGTTCATTACACGGGGTACAAGCCATTTCGAGGAGTCGCAGTAAATTTGTTTTTATTGTATTTTCAGGCGTCGCATGGCCACTTTTACTTCATACATATTTAAGGCAATACGATTTTTGGTCAGCTGCTGGCGTTGTTTTTCCAGGCCGTTCATTTGAGAACACAAAGAAGTGTGTCCCTCATTGATGCGTATTTTTTTTTTGTTGCATTCACGAGTTTCTGCTTCTATTCGGACCAGACTTAGAGTAGTCTTCGTTACAGGTTTCAAAGGGCATGGGCGGCTGGGTGAGCATGTTTGGGTTCATTGTCACTTTCTGCAGGAGTTCACCTCCATCAAATCATCAATCTGTGGTGATGAGTTCCAGGTCATATAAAACCATGTTAGAACTAGAAAGTTAACAACGAGCTGCTGCCGCGTAGATGTAATGAAATGAAATTTGGCTTGACGTTTTACACAGGTATCATCATAAATAACGCCAATATGTCCGCAGCATTGTTTTCCGTTGTGTAATTCCAAGCATAAGAGCGGACGCCTTCTGTCATTCTCTTCGTAAATTTCGCTGACATAGTCTTAAAAATTGCCCATGGGGTGCAGCAGCTTAACGCCACTCCTGGATTGGAAACGATCGTGCTGCATAAGGTTGAAATAATGTCTCGCTGTATATTCGGGCTGAGGCCGATTACTTTGGTGTAGGAACGCGCAGACTGCACCGCCACAACAAGTGATTTTCTCTTTATTGCCAACATTTACCCCTGGAATACGTTGAGCGTTGTCGGCACAAAACCGGTGCCAGATTATACAGTCGCTCGTTTTGGTGCCGAGCTGAGGACATGAGAATGCTCTTCGCTCTTCGCTAAAGATTTTTCTGCAACAACTAGAGTCCATTCAAATAAAACTCATACACTTGCTGTATAGAATAAACGCCAAAAATAAATTTGTCTTGCATTTAGCAAATAGAATAAAGTTTCTTCCACTGCCTCGTGCAGAGACGAATGGGGAGAAACCCAATTATTATGGGACAAAACGTTCGGGCGCAAACAAGCTGGTGAAGGTTTGACATTTTAGAGAAAACCACGAGACAGGGGGGAGGAAAGAAGACGCAACACTAAGTCTCAAACAGAGCTGAAATTTATTTGACAGAAGATCGTAGTTTTATTGGGTACAAGTGCCCCGAAAACCAAAAGGAAGAAAAAGGGGGGAGGTTGAACTTCTTTTGCCCGCACGCACAAGAGGGGGAGGACATTGACCAATAGCAGACCGTTACTGTTTTAAAAACAGTATCGGTGTGCCACGGTCTTCTGTCTACTAAATTTCAGCAGTGTTTGAGACTTCGTGTTGTGTCGTCCTTCCTTCTCTCTTGTCTCGGGGTTTTGTCTAAAATGTAAATTATTCTTATTTGCATGTCCATATACTCTCATCCATGTGGCATCTCCTTTTTACCATCATTGGCAACCCCAAGGTCGTCATATTTTTTTTTATTTTTTTTTACCGTTTCAAACGTTTCTAACGCGTGTGGCGAAACGCACACAAAAGATGAAATCACCGCGAAAAACAAATTTTGGTTCGCGAAAGAGACCGTCAAAGCCTGTGTCATACTCCTCCAATTTGAGCTTCTCCTCGATTGCCTCTTTTTTTTTTTGTGACGTAATTGGCAAAGGCAGTTTTGGAAACGTTAAGAGGGGTCGCAAGTTGCATTCCTGTAATATTCAATATTGTGTTCATAAAAAAAGCGTTTTTTACGGTGACTGTAAAGGCACTACATTTGCTGACTTCAAAAAGACGAAGCATTGGTGGTCTGCTAGCTTTTTGATCATATACTTTCAGCATGCCGGCATACGGCGGCTGCGCTGGGGACGTTGCGAAGGGTGCAGATAACTTCTCGGATGAACTCTCGCGCAGCACTTTTCCGACATATCTCCTCACGTCGCTCACCAAGGTCTGCTACACTGTTGAAAATAATCCCTGGAGAAGGGGAACAAGACGGACAAAGGACAAACATAAATCTCCAAACACAGCTACGTGACTGGTGCGCGACCGAAAAAATCCGCCTTGTCCGGGTATCGAACCCGGGACCTCTCCATTACAGGTGGAGCGCTCTACCAACTGAGCTAACCAGGGGTGTCGTTTTCTTCCTTAGCTTCTTAGTTTCAACGCTGCTAAAAAAACAAGCACGGAAAAGTGACGCGTCGTCTGCATGCGAAGAAAGGTCTCGCTCAATACTCTCGCGGTTGGCCGGGTGTCACGTGCGCGTGCCCACGAACGATGAGGGAAAAATTGATAAAAGTTGAACGAAACTTCCTGTTTGAAGTCACCTCAAAACGCACCATTTCGCAAACTATGTCGTAAATTCGGGCGGGCGCTTCCCATCAAAATTTCTAGAAATATTTTTTTTCTCCACAAATACACAGTTCTCAAGCTTTATATCTTTAATGCGATCCCTGGGAATCAATATCAGTTGTTTGAAATAATAAAGAAACATGTATGTTGGGTTTTTTCAATGGCCCTTTAACGACCATCAACCTGCTAGGATCCTTGGTGGTTCACGTAACGGCCATTACCGGTGGTCTTGGTGGCTCCGGCCTGTCCCAATTCTAAAGTAACACTGCGACCTGTCCGCGACTAGGGTGCCTACAACATGTAGGCACCCTATCTGCGACCATTTCCTGACGCCGTCCTCGCTGAGATTATGAAGCTCTTTGGCCGTTCTCCAGACGTTTGAAGGTCATCTTTTTTTATATTCGGACATCTCTCACTGCGTTTTCCAAGGCTAACTAACTTCGCCTCCGAGCGGTGTTTTCGCTTTTTTGACCTCGACGCTGTAACGTGGGTGGGATCATTTGCGAACAGAGACGAGGGAGATAGTTTGGGTCCTCTTGCGGTTCGAGTGATGCTTCACTTTTTAAGGATGCCGGCAGCGATTTTGCCTTGGCTGCTGGCATCTGTCGCGGCAGCAGCGGTTGTGATACCATCGCCACCAACGATAATCAAGCACCCCAAGAAGGAACAGCTCTTCCAGGTACCGTACCCCGACAAAGTCCGTCGGGTGATCAATGTTACTGTTATTGCGGACACGCAAAGTGTTTGTGTACTTCAGCGTACTTTAGCGGTTGCCCGGAGCTTGTTTTCGCGAGCCTTGCAAGTTTTAGGGAAATGACACAAATATTCGTACGTATAATTCGGTGTGCATGCATGTGCAATGCGTTACTCCGTGAGGTGCTGTGCTTATAAGTTTTGCTTTTGGTCGCAACATGAATTATCCTCACCCGAGTTTGGCATGTTGGAGCTCACAGACGGTTGCTCGCATCTGTATGAAATGAGGCTGAGACCACTTAACTTTATTCAAGTTTACAGCCACTAAAATAAACCCAGCGTATTTTTTTTATGTGTTTCGAGGTAAGCGCGAACGCAGAGTTGGTGCCGTCATTGCGGCATTGTCGCAGGTCAGCGAATATATTGAGGTTAACGTTCTGGATCCAGTGGCCAGCAACTATTAGGCGTAAGATTATTGTTGTATCTGAAATTTCTAGGGGTTTGAAACCCTTCAGATTAGAATTGACAGACAGGGCTCAGAGAAGTGCGAGAAAGATTCTTAGCCAGAAATGTATAACAACATGTTTTTTCTTCCAGTTTGTGTCTGCATCATTAGGGACCATAAGATAATGTTTTTTTTTTGTGTTTTTTTGCGATAGTGTTTTTGCGTGGAATACTTTTTGTGTGAATAGCCAATGAACAACTGGTTCCGCGCAAGTATATCTTCCGCCGGGTTATATGTAGAAGCAATGTTTTTTTTTTTCTCTAATTACGCAATGGATATTAAACGTGAATTATTCTGCGTTATTATTCCTTTAGTTTGAGCCTGAACCAGTCCCTGGCTGTGCCTGAGGCGCATATATTTTTTCACGGTTGAAGAAGCTTTGTTTCATCGTAGACCTAGTAAAGATCTGCTTGTTTGATATCGTTCGGGCATGGATTTTATCATGAAATGAAAACAATAAAATTTAAAATACACAATAATACATCTATCGTTTTCTATTTATTGTCAGTTGTATTGAACATTGCAGAACTACAACCATAGCAATATGCACAGATCAAGCATACAGAGGTAAATAATGTGGTCCTCTCTGGCTTTGTCTTGTATCATGAGGTTTACTCGTGTCGCGAGCATTGTGTTCTACTCCTTATCATCTTCTACTGTGTCCCAGATATCCTTTGTCTTCAGTATATGTTCAGTTGCATCGCAACTGCACATTTTTTACTTATAAATTTACCAATTGGACACTGTTGCTTGTTTTAGGATCGCCATTTCCGCAAATGCTCTTCCTTTCTATTCAGCCGCCGATTCTATTCAAAGGCTAGGGTGTGGACAGTCGAACTGTATATGAGTGCGTTTGTAAAATAACTGCTGCATCATAAATAAACAAATATATATATATATATATATATATAAAGGTTAATTGTTGATCTGCAATTGATTGATTGATTGAACAAATTTATTTACGCAGGTGCCGGTGTCCCCAGACGAGGCGGTCAGCCCCTTTGTGCTAGAATGCGAGGCCGTAGGAGACCCGGAGCCGACGTACCAGTGGACCAAAAACGGCAATGAGTTCAACCCGGTTGCGCACGACACGCGCGTCTCGCAGCAGCCCAACAGGGGCACGCTCGTCTTCACCGAGCCCGAGGAGATGGACGAGGGGCTCTACCAGTGCTGGGCCACAAACATCCACGGCACGGCCGTGTCCTACGCGAGCATCGTGCGCAAGTCAGGTCTGTTCCCGGCAGGATTGCTTCTGATTGCATTCACCAGCTAATGACGAAATAAAATTGAACGAGAGAACTAGACGAAGAACAAAGAGCTGGTTGCTAAAAATACAAGAATTAAACAAAGAATAAAAAGGACAAGGACAAGGACAAATATATGTTATGCATATGGCGGATCCAAAAAAGGGGGGGGGGGGGGGGCACGCGGCAATATACAGCCGGCGAATGTTTCCTAAGAGTTTTGTTAAATATGATAATGCTCAGAGCCAAGCACCATCTATCGTGTGGTAAACGAAGCTAGAGAAATACCATACTGCGCCTGCGCAGTCAACCGACTACCGTCGTCTGCTGATCGGGTTAGCTCCTGTTTCGCGTAGCACTTTCGTTTGCTGGCTGCAAGAGTAGTGTTTACATTGTTTGCGATCGATCGCTCGTTGGCTATCCCGAAAAGCTGCAGTGTACCGAAGTGCCCGTATTACAGTTTCTGCAGTCCGGTGGTTAAAAAGAAACAGTTGCAGTTTCACCGCCTGCCACTCGATGAACCACGTCGAAGCATTTGGTGCCGGCTCGGGACCCCGGGTCTACGGTCATTCGTATATGCTCGGAACGTTTAAACACCGATCGTGATTACAGACACATTCACAGTGTTCTCCGCGAATGCGGCCGTTGTTTTGAATTGAGACGGCGGCGGTGCACCCCCGGCAGCAGAAGCACTCCCGAGCGGTAGGTGCTACTATGCACGACTTGCAAGTGCACCTTCAAAGAAACAAAACGATTTATATCTCTGTTACTTCCGTACATCTGAATATACGGCCGAAACATGCACCTAGCATTGCGTTCTTTGCAGCCGCCCCACTCCTCGTCGTCCGATTCCGATGAAGAACTCGAGACTTCGCCGGAAGACTCGCCACACTTCCCAACAGGCATACCGGCGTATGGGACTAGTCCCATGCTGTTGCTGTAGCGCAACATATATCTCATTGAGTTTCGCTCAGCTGCGACGCGTCCACGGCTACCGCGGCGATGAGAGGCGCCGATTCAGAAAATACGTCGGTGACATAAGCGCCATTAGCGCAGTAAAACCTACCAGCGCACCCCCAACTCGCCGCCGCTAACGCTCCCATTCTCCTACTGCCGAGAGAACTTCCGTTTCCTGTGCCAGAGTACGTCACGACCGTCAAAATTACGCCGCAACTTGTTTTGCAGTCAGTTGGAGTTATTAAACCGAGACGAAAACGGATCCCTGTCCGGCATTCAGTGAACCTTGAAGGTTTAATGCAAAAGTTAACTGGCAAAATTAAAAAGGCCATTTCATGGTCCCTTTAAGTTTCTTCAGTTATTCGCCGCCTCATCATTTGTCATTCCTGAAAATATATCCTTGCATTATCCCAAATTAACCGGTACATCAGTGACATAGACCTGGAACGATAATAAATGACCCTGTTGGAGATACAAAAAAAAGTATTCTCATTCGAAAGCTGAAATAATTAAAAATGATTTCTGTGTATCTTCTTGCAGCAAGCACGTTTTAGAAGGCCATTTTGTTTTTATAAGATTAAAAGGAAAAGGAACTATTGTCCATACATATAGAAGCCGTATGTCTGAAGTACATCTAGAATGGTGCTCATGTTCCGTCTCCCTCAAGCTCGGGTATTCACTGTTCTGACACAAAATCCGCACACTGGAAGCTTCAAAAAGAAATAAATTTCAACGTCGTTGAACTTTTCTTGACCCTAAGCTTCTTAAAGCGTCCCTGAAAAGAAAAATAAATTTTCTTTTTTATACAGTCTGGGGGGACACGCGTGTAAGTAATTAATTTTACGCGAAAAGACATTTTTTTTAGAGCAACACTGACGGCCCAAGACGCGAATTAGTCGGTGGTCACCCACTTTCCACTTGTTTTCTCTCTCGGCATTTCGGGCGGGTGGAGGAGAGGTGGATCGTCTTCGCCTTCACGTTGAGGGGGAGAGACCAAATGACCATCTCGTTGAGCGAATGACCATTCCGTGACGTCATGGACTTTGTGCGCAGAATTTCAAATAAATCTCTCGCCGTCATAAATTTCTCTAAAAACTTTATTTTTCGCGTAAAATTAATTTTTTTTTGCACGCCTGCCCCAACCAGACTATTAAAAAAAAATTTTTTTTTTTCAGGGGCCCTTTAATAGCACTGTTTTATTTGCGTAGTTCTCTTCGTTAAATTTCCCTGCCAGCTTGTTGTCTGCCTATCAAGTAGTGAAAATTACAAACATTAAAACACAACGAACTAAAAAATGCAAATGCCATCATTGCAGGGCCATTAAGAATAAGAAGCTGCGGTCACAACTTAGGATGTCTAACGTCGAGTGTGACATTATGTGTCAGCGACATTTAGCAGAGATCTGTATTTTATTTTCTATATGTCTTCAAAATTGTTAGAGGAATTTTTTTTTTTTCAAGGTGGCTGCCAGAGCATCGGGATTATTTGTCCCGTGTGAAGTGACAAAGCTGCACCGTTGCAGAGCTGAACCCGTTCCCGGAAGAGAGCCCCAGGGTGGTGAGTGTGGTGGAAGGAGATCCACTATCGCTGGACTGCAACGCTCCGATCGGGTACCCCAGGCCTAACGTCAACTGGCTCATTCTGAGCGACAACGGTGCCCTGCGCGTGTTGAACTCTTCACGCATCACGTCCGACCCCGAAGGAGGCCTGCACTTCTCCAGGGTGGGTCGTCTGCCTTCCTCCATGTATTTGTTATTTTTAATCTCTGCAGTGAAGCTCAGAATGCTGAACGTAGGTACTTTATCTCTCAGCGCGCTTCCCTATTACCAGTGCCTTGTTCCCTTTACTTTCTGGGAAAAAGGCGTTGTGGTTCTGCGACTGGAATAAAACCGAGGAAACGTGTATCCGCAAACAGAGACGAACGCGAAGAAGGTGACACAAGCAAGCACGCGCTCTTGTGTTCCTTTTTTTTTCAGTTCGTCTTTGTTTGCGTATACAAGTTTCCTCAGCTTCATGCACCGGTTAGCCCAACAACAACTCTTTTTCGACTAAACTTAATGGCATGTACTGACATAGCCACAATACTTTATTGCAAAGGAAAACGAAGGTGTACAGATATGAAAGGAACATCTACTAAATAACCTGTCTTACGTGCCAGTGTGGCAGCCGATTTTTGCCAAGAAAGAAGGCGTCATGCGTTACCTTAAGACAAATTTCTTAGTAAAACACCGACTCTCAGTCCAAGGTTTCCATGTGGTTTGTGTTCAGAATAGTCGGGTTGTAAACAAATAGGCTTAGTTACGCTCTTTTCAAGATACTGTGGATGTAGAACATGTTCATAGATGTTATGGCGTCACGCCGCTCCTTCACGTCCCGTCACGTGGTTAACTTCTCTAAACTTAACTAGAAAACCCTTGGTATTGTTTCCGTCTGACTTTACATAAAGCTGCCCATAACGCTGCGTGAATTGTGGCGTGAATTTTTTTTTTTTTTCCAGAGTTCCCACCCACCTCTTTTTCTTTGAGCTAGAAAACATGACCTACTACGTTACAAATTTGTAAAATGTGTTTTACAGATATTGAGAGTTTACGTTGAACTAAATATGTGGGGTTGAGTGTCAATTCGGTGCCTGTCTGCAGTTCTAGAAAAAAAAGGCGTGCGGCATTCACATCTGTGGCCTTCACCGTCGCGGCAGGTGGAGCGAGAGGATGCCCTGGAGGATGCGGTGTACGTCTGCACCGCAACCTCGGTCTTCCTGCATCAGTACAAGATCGGGAACAAGGTTCGGCTACGGGTGGAGCAGGTGTCGAGCCCGTCAAGTACAGAGCACGCCCCCGTAAGGCAGTACCTGTCACCAAACAACTTGGTCGCACTCGAAGGACAGGAGCTCAAGCTGTACTGCATCTTCGGAGGATCGTGAGTCCCTGGCAGTGGCGTACCAACTTTTTTTTGAGTGGGGAAGGGGGCAAACCAGAACCCCCCCCAGGGCCGGGGTGGTGCCCTTTGTATCCCTGTGGCGCCGACGGGTAGTGTTTGCCGTGCCCAGTGGCGGATTTTTCTGGGGGAGCAAAACACATGCCTTGCCCCCCCCCCCCTCCCCACTCTGAGAACTGGGGAGGGGGGGGGGGGGGGCAAGCGCCCTCCTTGCCCCCCAGGTTGGTACGCCCATAGTCCCTGGTTTAGGTTTTCCCGCACAGACGAACACTTTTCATTTTCCCTGCAAGCACACGGAGTGTGCAAGTTCCTTTCAGTGTCATCAGCCAACATCACCTATGACTATCAGAGCCCGCGTGGACTATAGCATTTCGACGTCGTCACAGTGAGATCTAGCACAGACACAGATTAGATACGAGTGGTGCGTCAACGTTCCGCTGTGCCTATTGTGTCCGTCTGAGGCCCAATTGCTAAGTTGAAGACCTCAGAGTGTGATGACTTATCGAAGATGTAGAGGAGGCTGTTAACTGATTTCGATTCGTCTACGTGGTGTTGCATCAGCTCACACTTGACTCCACCGCAAACCAACGATAACGTTTATTCACTGGACGCCATATTTGAGGGCGATGTTTGGAGCGCATGCTCAAAACGAGCTCACATCAATATATAGCCTGCTAATACCGGCAATCTTGATGGTGCGGAATACACGTTGCAAATGAACAGCGGAAGCTCGCTGTCAGCAGGCGCTCAGAAGCCGCGCACACAGATATGGCAGCCAGTAGCACAAGGTCACGGTGCATTTTTTGTGTTCATTAGACAATACGATGATGATACACTTAAAAATATAACGAACGAACACAGCGGCATTACACTTTCAGAGCTGCATGATTGATCCCCTCGCCTCGTGCGGTCTGAAGCAAGTTGAAACGACGTAGATTAGGTTGCAGAGGAAAGGAAGAGAGAGGGTTAAATGAATGCATAAAGTGGGAAGTATGTTTTTTCCTAAAAATATGGTTACTTGTGTAACCAAATTATGACACCTAATGTGATTGTTCGAGTAACCATAATAAGGTAAAGAGATCTTGTTTTTGCCATAAGGGAACGATGGGTCCAGTGAGGTTCATTTGAAAAAACAACCGCATCTCCACGTGGTGAATGATGTTGATTGGGGCGAAGCTCTGGTGGTGCTTGTCTGCGTAGACGGTGAGCCGCAGCATGCCGAGCCTTTCGTTCGTTTTCATCCAAGTCACGCTGCGGTCAAATGCTCAAATGCGTATATAACCACGTTCCATACCACACATTCTCTTTCTGACATGGATGAAAACGAACGAAAGGCTCGGCATGCTGCGGCTCAGCGTCTACGCAGACAAGCACCACCAGAGCTTCGCCCCAATCAACATCATTCACTACGTGGAGATGCGTTCTTTTTGTTTTTTTTTTGCCCTACACGAGCACGGGAGCACGTACTCACAAGCTCGTGAGCACGAGCACCCTACACCGGACATCGGACGGACATACGGACATGGCTAGCCAGCCCTAAGGAGCTTCGCCCCTAAAACCGGATCCCCTCGCGTAAGTCGCCCCAACACGATGTGCGTTCAAAATAAAAGCGGTTGGAATTAAACTAGGGATATATTGTCCAAACAATCTATTCGCGGAATGAAGACTGCATTGAAACAGAAGGGAAACAGCTTACGGTTGCACTTTTTTTTTAATTTTCAATGAGAAATGTTAAGGTGTGACGCTGTAAGTGCTAGTGGCATTTAATTAACTAAACTGCGAGCGAAATGAAAATGTGCATTATAGATTTACTGCTAGATTTCGTTTTAAACCATGTTCAGTTTTAACACTGCACACTATAAAACTTGATTTGTTCGAATTACTCAGTTTCCATAAAAGATTTATTTGGGTAAGCCATTGAGTGAAGCTTCGAATGTCGATCATGACTCAAGCAAAAAAAAAATGCAAACATAAACTTTTATGGTTGTGTTGTTCCTGGATTGATATCATGAGAAATGAATAATAAATGGGAAATAGCTTCGGAGGAAAAGGCCCTCCAGAGGTAAGTTCGGCTGGCTGTCATTAGGTCCCACTGCTGAGTAATGAAAGGCCACGTTCTTGCGCTGTGAACATTGAATTGCTCGTGTCTTTTACAATCGGATCAACAAACTAAATTAGCGGAACATTTTTCCAGGCCCCAGCCAGTGATCACTTGGAGGAAGCTCGACACGAATCTGGGATCTTCGGACTTCACCACTGCCAACTACGGCAGAAACTTTGTGACCAGCTTCCTCGAACTCAAAGACGAAGGAACGTACGAGTGCAAGGCACACAACGGTGTGGGCATGGTTCAATCCCATGCCATCAACGTCACGGTGGAGTCTGCTCCCTATTGGCTACGCTCGCCAGAGAACACCAACGCCGCCGAGGACGAGAGCGTCTCCTTGGAGTGCACGGCCTCTGGCAGACCGGAGCCGAAGCTGCAGTGGTTCATCAATGGCGTTCCCCTTCAGAGTGAGTTGCATGGAACACATGTGCTTTCCTTGGGTCTGAAATGCCTCATTGAATGTGGGCCAAGAAGAAGAAGGAGGGCTCTGGGCAGACAAATATAGTCAGGCAAACCGGTATCTAGAGAACTAAAGCCCTAGTACCATGCACTAGAGCGACAAGCAACAAAACCATTCAGCACTGCAGGATGTACGCGAAGTTATCTTTGGCAGGATTGAAATCACTCGTGTGTGTGGTTGCTGCTGCTCGTTGCTATGGTGGTATTCGGACATGGAAAGCTACGCAAAACCTCGGTCGTCAAGAAAGACGCTATGAACTTCCTTTGCAGTGTTCTACACAACGGAATTTTCAGCTGATTTGTTCGAATCAAAAGAACTAATCAGGTAAAAACGGAACCTGACGTGCTTCAAAATGCTTATCTGAGCAAGACTAAGCTATCGTCAAATCGCATGTATAATAATAGACCGGTCTACGTTTTATCACTTTAATCCTCAGTCACTCGTAGTGTTCTTGTAGAACTAACTGAACGTGCCCAGATTTTTCGTAACTTAATTTTTTTTAATTCGGTCATCTAACTGTATCTGAGGTACTGAAAACCTGACTTTCAATACACTTGCACAGGCACTGAGTTTGGACACCCCGACACATTACGCTCTGGATGATTACCGTAAGGATGTGTATCGCTACCGCGCGAGGCCGTTGGCGAATCCAAGCTAGCAGTCATTCTGTACTTCCTAATTTTCTGATCTACGGTCAGAACTTGTCCTGCCATACCATGGCACACTGACCTCACGCCGTTTGATTGTCCAACGTCGAAAAATGAGAAGGACACAATTTTTGTATAAGCTATATAGCGGGTATTATAACATCAATTCGAGTGATTCTAAACACCTTCCTTGTAGGACTGCAAAGTCAATAATCAGTTTGGAATCAAGCCTTACAGCACAAACCTTGATACTTTTAATTATACTCTTTTTTGGTAACACAACGGATGAGGTGTGAACAGCTTGAATGTCATCCTTTTTGTTAAGATTGAGAAAGCAGAGACTTTTGAAAAAAGTGTTCCTAGATTTTTGTTCAAAGCTGTGCTAGTTGTCTTGAAATAGTGTTGGTTAAGATTTCGTGGACGCTCATGTTGAACAGGGAAATCGCTCTTGTGATGATTGTATTTGTGGTCATTGGTTGCAGCACGGTTCTTGTTCTTTTTTTTTCTTGTTTCTGGAAGAAAAAATGAAAGAGGTTTACAAGTTCCTGTAATGCCGAATTAGAGCGCAGCTTCTGAGGAGAAAGAGGGCAGGGTACGAAGAAAAAAGAATGGCCCTCCTCTTCCTCCATACCCTCTCCTCCTCCCTCTCCCCCTCCTCCAACCTCCTCCTCCCTCCTCCTCATCTCATTCTCCTCAGATACCCTCCCTTCCTCCTCCTCCTCCTCCTCCTCCCCCTGCCTCCCTCCTCCCCCTGACGTCACTCGTGTAGGCCTCGTGAAGGTGGTGACTTCCACTGTTAAGGTCGTGACCTTCGTCGTGACCTTCGCGAGTGACCTTCGTGACGTCATTCGTGAGCTTAGTGACCCTCATGACGCCACTCGTGACACTCTGGACGTCACACGTTACGTTACGTGTGACGTCATTATTGGAAATGTACCATAATGTAACGCGCGGTCACGCCGACGTGCGACGGCGACGCCGCTCAAACCGGAAACCCGCACCTAAGAGCTGCGCTCTAAAACGAAACACATTTGCAACTCTTCTGAGGCAGCCCGGGCTATCAGTATTATAAACAAACAAATATGCTATTTTTTTTATTTCACTAGTGCGTGTTTTCAGATGCGGAACCGAACCCCCGCCGTAAGGTGGAAGGTTCACGAATGACCATAGAAGGGCTGACCAAGCAAGACACGGCTGTGTACCAATGCAACGCTTCCAACACTCACGGCTACGCCTTTAAGAACTTCTACCTCAACGTCCTCGGTATGAAACACGGGTCTGAAGGGGGGGGGGGGGGGGGCGTAAAGTTTTTTTTTTTTGTTTTTTTGTTTTTGTTTGAACGCCTTCTTGAGGTTTGAATCCCATTGTGCCGTCCAATAAAAAAATATGATAACAACGAACCACGTGTAAGCTGAACTGTCGAACCTTCGTGTTTGATAGAGGATCCTTGCAGGGAACGGGTAGCATTCTTTTAGTGTTTCACATAAAGCACAAATACAACAGTCTAGCTTATAGAGGAATCAGACATTCTTTTATAATATCTGGAATTTTACTACTTTATTTCTTTTATTCAGAAGTTTAAAGCTTTTCCCCGTTACCAAAACCACTGTATTAAAAACGATAGTCATAGCGTTAGCGTCACCATGACCAAGGCTACGAGGACGAGAGAACGAGACATCGCTTTTGAAACGTTCTTCAGCAGGACGACAGCTCGTTCTAGAAAACTACGTCTGAAAGCACGGTGTACGGGCTAGCTGTTCTTAGAGGGTAACTCCGGTGCAATTTCTTGATTTCTGGGTTACCACGGATTTCAATAAAGGAAGGGTCACTGAATTACGAGGTGTCAGTTTTTGACCTCTCGCTACCACCCCTCTCACTACCACCCCCTATCGGCGGACCCCTGCGCGCTTCCGGTTTTCCTCTTCTTTTCCATTTGTCTCTCCTCGTTTTGTTATTTCCACTACTTTGTACATTGAACTAATGTTCTTACAAACATACTACAGAAACTTCTCTGAAGGAAACTCTTCTTACCCGACCGCTGTGCGTTTCTGAAGAATAAATAAATACACTACCGGAAGTTTACTGGGGCACCAAGTACTGTGGCGCCCTCGTGGTCTCAAATCCCACCGAATGTGGTGAACAGATTACTAGATACCCTATATGAAAGTTTTGTTTCGGGGTCCTGCGGCGATACAGAAACTACCGCGGCTCTAGCATGATGGCAACCCTTGTGGTAGGCCGCGTAGACACGGTATGACGCAAAGTTTGTACCGCGGTACCGCAAAACGTACAACTGGCCCAGTCGCAAGAGCAGTTCCGATCAGTCAGTTCAGATGCTACGCCTGCTTTATGGCTCCATTTCGTGGATATCAAATATCTGTAGCAAATATTAATACGCGTTGGTAAAGTTGTCAGCCGCAAAACGGGGATGTAGGGATACGGTCCATTCGTCACATGCACACTCGTCACAGGATGATTGGTCACAGGAAGATTCGTCACACAGGACCATTCGTCATAGGATGACTCGTCACGCGGCCAACCGGTCCCACAACAGTTCGTCCCCCTAAAAATGTATTGTTCAGTTTGGTTCGGGCGGACAAAGTGGCTAACCTCATATTTTAGTATGTCTTTGGCTTCTGAAAGGCGAAGAATTTGTAACAAACGTTTCAGCTTCTGGTTCGGTCCCGAACATTGAATGTTGGTTCGGCATGACAAAGTGGGTCACCTCTTATCTTAGCATGCCTTTCGCTTCTCAAAGTCAAAGAATTTATAACAGACGTTTTAGCTACTGGGTCCGTCCCGAACGGTGAATGCGGAGGCCATATAAGAGCGACTATTTTTGAACTGAGACTGCATTCAAAAGGATAGAGGTGATCGCAACAGAGAGAGGTAGAGCCATGATGCTGCACGAGGGGTACTCGTACACATTCAGCAGAAAGAATTCCGATACTTATTGGTTTTGTCAAATAGGTGTATGCAAGGCAAATCTACTGATTTGGCTGCCAGTCGGATTACTACTCGTTCAAGCCAGCAACTGAGATCAACCTGCTGAAGACCCGTAATATTATGAAAGGAAACGCTGATGAGTATTTGAGATTAGTTTTTCTAACCATTGGTTTACGTCACAGTAGAAAATCGTGAAACTCCTCATCAGGGAACGTGGGCAGATCCGATCGATGTGACCAGTTGGCCGCATGACGAGTCATCCTGTGACGAATGTTCCTATGTGACAAATCGTCCTGTGACCAATCGTCCTGTGACGAGTGCGCATGTGACGCACTTCGGCAACGTGCAATGCACGTTGCAGAAATGTTGTAAAAGCTAATTATAAGGTCGCGTTGAGCAGGAAAGACTAAACTATGACCGCCAGTGAATGCCATTTTCGGCACCACGACGCGCTTGAGCTTGCAGAAAGTCAATTCTTCGTGCTCGATCGCGCGAATGCTTGACTTCACAACAAAGTGCATCTAAATCGGGTGCTTGTCTCATTTCATGAGTTCCTAAGACTAATGTTTTTAATCACTAAAAATATGACGATATATTCATATATAATAAACTCGGAGATGCATAGTTTGTGTTGTGAATGAGCTGACTGTATGCTTTGTGTTTGTGTGACGTCACGATACGTCATGAAGACTTATAACTATGTGATATGTGAGTGACGGGTGTAACGGTGTCACGTGGTCTGATGGCAGTGTGTGAAGTACGTCACGACGCTCGAACTTGACGGCAATCCACGTGACGTCAGAGTATCAGGTAACGTACCCGCATCAAGGTCATATAAGCACTACAGACCCCGGAGTGTTATATTGATTATAATTTATATGAGGTTGACCCGTGTGTCGGTCGTGGTTAACGGTCGAACGTAAAGTGTATCGCTCTTCTGATTAACACGGGATGTGGTATGGGGCATACCACATCCTGTGTTAAAAACCGAGATTCTTATACCTACACTGACCCATTCATGACGTGAGACTCTCCAAGTGAGTTTCTTTTTCAGCGCTGGCCCCGAGCATCGCGGGGGCGCCCCAGCACACTACTCACGCGGCGGAGTCGTCGATTGTGAAACTTCGCTGCCCTGTGTTCGGGGCCCCGCGCCCCGAGGTCAAGTGGTTCAAGGAAGGGCAGGAGCTGATCGGAGGCCGCTATAGGGTGTTGGACAACGGGGACCTCCAGCTCCACGACCTGAGGGTCAGCGACCAGGGCTCTTACACCTGCTACGCCAGGAACAAGTTGGGGGAAGCTTCGATTACAGAAGTCCTTCAGGTCACGGGTAAATATTCCGGGCGGTCCGATTAGCGCCTTCCGCTGATAGTTTTGCAAAGGGAAATGAATATTTGAAGTTTTCAAGTGGAAGAGGAAGCTTAGATAAAGACAAAGGAGGGCTGCCCTTAAAACAAACAGCAAGTACATTAATTACTAGGAGAATACGTCCTGCTCCGGTCATTTGCGTTAAAGAGCGCGAATACAGCTCCAAATCAGCTGTGAGGTTACGCCGCGTTCGACAGGGCTCATGCGCATCGCGCTGACCACGCTGTCGCCGGCACACGGAGATACCGGATTCGTCCAGACAGCAGAGGCGGCTGTCTCCGCTGTCTCAACAAGTTTCCACGAAGATAGATGGCGACAGCCACCCCTCCCAATTCAAAAGGGAAAGACCTGGAGGCTGCGCGCGTCCAGCTGTTTCAACTACAGAAAGCCTATCGGCGCCAAGGCCATTGGATTTTTGCGGGTTAAGATGTATTTCATAGAAAAATATTTGGAAATACAGCAATAGGGGAACATGTCTTACTCTATTAAAATCCAATGACCTTGGCGAGGGCAGCGTTTGCGTAGTTTGAATGGCCAGATCGTCGTAGCCCCGGGAGTTTTCTACTTAAATTGGGTGGGTGGTTGCTGCCACCTATCATCGTAATTTTCCCGAGTGCCAGCTAAAACTGCTGTCTCGACTGCATCGATAAAAAAAGAAAAAACTCCACTCTCGATGCGCCGGCGATGGTCATCTCCCCAGACGCAGTGCGAGGGCGCGGAAAAAAACGATAGGCATATATTTTCTTATATTTTCTTATGCGCAACGTTTTGACCGCCAGAGGAGGATTTGGCGCTGTAGGCGCGCCGTCCAATGCAACTGAGCGTAGTGTTATGTTTTATCTCTAGTTGAAAGTAATTGCTGAATATTTCATGCAAATGAGTTTTCCTGTACAGCCTGAAAAAAGGGGGAAATCAAGCCTTCTTGATAATGGGAAATTTATCAAAAAAATAAATATTGTTTCATCGGTCTTTCATTTTGGAACTCTTCGGTTTACTCAGTTACAAGCTCGCAATTCCAACTGGCGTCACATGCATGCAAGAACATGCGTGCTTGTAGATGATTTGGCAGGATTGCAATTAGGCGTGCTTGCCATTAGGAGCAGATATACGACGAGGCACTGGTGTCACAACACTGTGAAGTCCTTTATCATCGCTCACGCACTTGCTGCTTAGAAATGGCAGGAAATGCTTAGAAAACGTGCTCCCCGCAGGAAATTGTTAGAGTTCACTCATTTCCGTCACATGACTGATTGGCCATGAACGTCAACTCCGATATCTGACGACGTAGTACTTATTTCTGCGTGCCTATTCTCTCTCTTTCTCTCTCGCTCTCTTTCTTGAGAAATATATATATATATATATATATATATATTCGATGCACGCATAATAAAAATAAGGGATTAGCATTGTTGAGGCAGGGTTTCCGGGCATTATTACATATTGAGGTCGTGTCCTCAGATCGGGGGATGAAGCGTTGGCAGTGCGTATTACTGATAGCACCGAGCTATTTGTTGCGCAGGCGCCATTCCATCCTGCGTAGAGGATGTTATTGTTTTTCTCGGTGTCTCGAAAAAAAAGAATGCCAGTAAGTTGCTAGTGTTTGTTTCGTCCGGCTTCTTTATTAACACGCACACAACGAACCGAGGCTCTGTTAAGACATTTATTATCCTGTACTGTTTATACACCTGCTAATTGTATTGCAGCAATTAAGCTCAAACAATTTCCATTCCCAGTGATATATTTTCTGAATGCCATACATGTTATTAAATGTGTCAAAGTTTAAATCATAAATATCGACTATATCAGAGCTCAAAGCATCAGATAGAAAGAGGAAACAGTAATTTTTGTTTCCAGCTTATTGTTCCTTGTCAACGCTTAGTTTTATTAACATGGCCCTACAAAAATTTTTAACATTCTGTTCTTTTTCTACCTTTAAAAATGAAACTGTCCTTAAAAAAACAAAAACAAAAAATCACAGCAACATTTTTGCATTGACAAAGTAATTTGCAAATAATTACATCATTCTATATTTCAGCTCTTGGCGAACAATTTTTCTTGCAATATTTTGCCACCAAAGAGAGAGGCACAACGGCGCGTGCGCGTCGGTTGTCCTGCAAGAACGACGGTCGCTTCCGCAATGCTTGGATAGAAAATGGCGTGTCATTTCAATTCACACGATTACCAGCGACCTCCACGCTTCCCCGTGTCCCGTTGTTCGCAAGAACCACGAGCTGCGGAGTGAATTTCACGACAGAGCGAAACGGCGAGAAATTGTGAAGATTTTGGAATTTCTCGAGTTACGCTGGACACGAGCCCTCAATGCGGGACAGTTCCGCGAGTCGCGGGACGTGTGGTCGCTTTAGATCGAATACAGGATCCTTGGGTTCGCTCCTGTGAGTTCCGAGCTGCGGTGTGCTAACATGGCTCCATCACCAACCATATATCTAAAATACCGTGTTCCATGCATTACACGACTTAAGAAATAAACGTCTCTGCCAATATTCTTTTTTTCTCAGCCCCAGTTCCTACTGTCCAAGACCCAAATACCTTCTTGGACACCGTCCTGAACGAGAAGTTACCACTCCTCATCAGAGATTCACCCACACTCTTCCCAGTTGTCCGAATCCCAGATTTCAATTTTGTGGTAAGCAAACACTAACATTTGGTTACTTTTTACGTTACGTAGTGAGTCAATCGCTTAACGGTGAATCCAGCCACAGTCGCTTAATGACCGCCGTTGCTACGGCCTGCAGCTCCACCAGTAGGTGCACAGAAACAGTGATCCAGCTGAGCTTCCCGAGTTCGTCGCTGGAGGCGCGGCACAGCGGACCCACAATACTACGGCGTAGGATCACTGTCTGACGAGCTGCAACCACCCTGGCCGCTGGTCAGTGCCACCAGGCGCAATACCACTCCCTGCCGCCGTTTTTGGAACTTTCCTTTCCTCCGACCAAAAGAGACACTCAGCAGGCGGACCCCAGCGGATAGGGAAGCAGAATTGAGCGACCGTGATCCACAAATTGAAATTACAAAATAAAACAACAACAACAACAGCGCCGTATTGAAAGATCCGGTAAAAACTTCCAGTGACATCCGGTAAAAACTGGTCAAGTTTTACTGTTTTCATCCGAAACCAGCGTAGCTTACCAGTCATTGCTGAAAGATTTGTCAAAAGCTACTCTCAGTTTCCAGATTCCGCTGGAATTTTACCCGCAGCCACTTTCGTTTACCAGACGACCCGGCCTTGGGGGAAAATTTACCGGAAACGAGTGACTCGTTTCCCCGTTTACCTAACTTCACTAAAAGCCGACGCGAGGGAAAGGGGTAGCCGGACGAATCCCTACGCAACCCCTCTCCTTCAAATCGTGTTCGTGGGGAGAATGTGAGCGGGTCTTTTTGCTGTCTGTTTTGAAGAAAATCGGTTTCTTTGTCCGTCAACCAGCAACGGCCACGAACGGACGTTCACTGTCGGCTTCCCGTTCCATGTGTGCGACCTGTATCTTCCAGAGCAGCTGGGTGTGGGTGCGAATAAAAAGAAAATATATTTCAGTGACCTGTTTCTTACGCCTCTTTGTCCGTCCGGCTTCAGAAGCATCCAGCGAGCGAAAACGACCCCGGAGACAACTCTGTGATGGCATCAGGAACGACACCGTGACTGTGCCCAAGATTTCTCAACGGCGGTGGATGTTCGTTCTGCACTTTCGTGGTTTTCTCAAAGCGTGCTACTGGCAGTCTGTATGTGTCCGCGCGGTGCACCCGCGGCGACGGCATCAGAGACGACACGGTGATTGTGCCGTGATTGTGCCGTGATTTCTCAACTGCGGCGGGTGTTGGTGGCGCGTTCGTGGTTTTCGCTAAGCGTGATTAGAGTGTGTGTGTGTGTGTGTGTGTCTGTCCGTTCGTGCGGTGAATCTGCTCGGTTTTATTAGTTGAAGTACCGTTTACCAAGGAATTTACCCAGCGGCATTGTGAGTACATTAAAAGATATGTTTTTTTTTGCTACAAAAAGTCGGTTGTTCCTATGCGGTCTGATTGCTTTTGTCTACAACTGTGGCACATGTTTCACTTGTGTCGACCCTGTGAAATAAAGGCGTGAAACTCTCAGGTCTATGTGAACTAACCGTTTTAATTGTTACCGAATCGTCCAGCATCTGGTAAACATGCCCCACCCACTGTTCACAGGCTTCTTTCTTCCGTTGACTTAAAAAGAAAAAAAAAAAAACGTACGCTCCGGTGAATTACGGAAAATTCTGTGACTCCCGGTAATTTCTGGTGAAGCGAGGCAAATCCGGTGACTTCCGGTAAGCTCCGGCTTTACCGGAAATGAAAAAGTCCCATGATCTAGTAAAATAAATTTTTTACTGGAAATACAATTCCGGTAAAAAATCTTGTGGCTTCCAATAAATTCCGGCTTTACTGGAAGTGAAGAGTCCCATAATCTAGTAACAGTATATTTTGCTGGAAATAAAATTCCGGTACAAAAGCTTTTCAATAGGGCGTGGTTTGGATCGAAAACCGGATGTGTGCTGGAACAATTAGCAAGCGAGGGATCATGGGAGTTGTGATTGCACGCAGATTGTTTTTTCCCACCAAACGGTATTTAGGAACAAGGTTTTGGCTGAATAGGCTCCACTCCATTGCAGTGATGGGCAATTGATTAATAATTGCTTGGTGTGTGCTTTTATTTACGGGAAAGAGTATGTGCTGATTTTTTCCAGGGTGCACGGATAACCAAAAACGACCAGCTACTTACGAATCGTTTCCGTGATGGTGAAGGAAAAAGTTTAATCTGGTGTCATTGACAAAGAAATGCAAGGCATAGCGAGTCCCGCACACTTCATTGTCAATATAAAGCTAATACTAAGGCATTAGTCAATAAGCACGCCGAGAAATGAATCACGAAGCAATATACGTGAATATAATTGCTCTGCGTTTTTTGAGCGGCTAGTGATTGTAAGCATACACAAGATCAAACCTCCTCGCCGCGACTCACGAAGTTTTTATTCTCCTTTATGCGTGAACGCAGGTTGCCAAAAACGCCTTGACGAACCACGACCTCTACGCTAACCTCACGGAGGGAGCGATTCATGGTCTTGACACTGCAGCAAAGCGAATGGGAGACTGCCTAGCGCCGGCGGACAAGGACGTCGTCCCAACCGTCTCGTGCACCCTGGACCTCGATGGCATCAACGCCACGTTCCTCGCATTCGTAAGGAACTACGGCGTACATGTTCGTCGGCTCCTGTCGCGCTGCGTTTGTTCACCACCCCTACTACACACCCACGCCGCCACGTGCTTTTGTTTCCCCCCGACCTCAATTAATGAGGGTTCGAGCTTGGCTGCCTCGTCCTCGCATGTTCCGAGTGCCCTCGCTCTGTTACAGACTTGTACACCTTACTGAAAGAAAGTACCCGATTACAATTACAGTCAGTTTATTGTAAAAAGAAACCGAGAAAAATTACAATTACAGCCTCAAAAAGTAATCGAGAAATTACTCTGAAGTCGTCGACTACTTCCCAAGTTACTTTTCATTCACCTTTTTTATTACGGTAACATAATCCTTGGGGTCTCGCGCTCAGTTGTTCGAAAGAAAAAAAAAAGTGAAAGCCGCTTACAACTCCCTGTAACGCCGAATTAGAGCGCAGCTCTTGAGGAGGAGGAGGGAAGGGCACTGGGGGGGGGGGGTTAAACTAACCAGGGGGGGTCACGTGACCTTGGGGGGTCACGTGACCCCCAATGCCGATGATGTCATCACTGACGTCACTGATGACGTCATCAGTGACGATGACGATGCGGGTACCGATGACGTCATTAGTGACGTCACTGATGACTTCACCAGTGATGATGACGATGACGATGCGAATGTCGGTGACGTCATCAGTGACGTCGCTGATGACGTCATCAGTGATGATGACGATGCGGATGTCGGTAACGTCATCACTGATGATGACGATGACGATGCGGATGCCGGTGACGTCATCAGTGATGATGACGATGACGATGCGGATGCCGTTGACGTCATCAGTGATGATGACGATGACGATGTGGATGCCGGTGACGACATTAGTGACGTCACTGACGACGTCATCAGTGATGATGACGATGACGATGCGGATGTCGGTAACGACATCAGTGACGTCACTGATGACGTCATCAGTGATGATGACGATGACGATGCGGATGTCGGTAACGTCATCAGTGATGATGACGATGCGGATGCCGGTGACGTCATCAGTGACGATGACGATGTGGAGGCTGGTGACGTCATCAGTGATGATGACGATGACGATGTGGATGCCGGTGACGTCATCAGTGATGATGACGTCATCAGCGATGATGACGATGTGGATGCCAGTGACGTCATCAGTGACGATGACGTCATTGGGGGGTCACGCGATATCGGCGGGGGTCACGTGACCTCGGGGGGTCACGTGACCTCGAGGAGGGGTTCACGTGACCTCAGGGGAGGCACGTGACTTCGGGGGGTCACGTGCCCCCCACGAGGTCACGTGACCCCGGTGGGGGGCTCGCGCGGTGCATTATGGGACACTTCCCATGATGCACCGGGGTCACGTGACCTCGGGGGGGTCACGTGCCCCCCCACGAGGTCACGTGACCCCGGTGGGGGGCTCGCGCGGTGCATTATGGGACATTTCCCATGATGCACCGCGCGGTTACGCCGACGCCGACGCCGACGCCGCTCAGGCTGGAAACGGGCCCCTAAGAGCTGCGCTCTAAAAAGCCTTGACCGTTCTTGCTTAGAGCTGAGTGAGTCACGCCAAGACACCCATTCTCTCTTAAAAAAAATATAATAAAAAAAGAGCGCTGTTTGAATACATCACTGACAAGAGGCTGGATAAGGTCATTTTTCATATCCGAACGTAGTCTTTGGTGTTACAAAACAAAAATGTAACCAGGAAACGAGCATAGTGAAGTGGCCTACTACTCCTCAAAATTCCTTACTCAATAGTTTAGAAAAAAAAAAAATTGACCGTTGCCTACCGCTGAATGACTCCAACACATCTCAGCCCTACCTTCCCCCCCTCCCTTCACTAAAAAGATAAATAAAGAAAAAAATTGAGAAAAATTGTAATGGGTAATTTTGTAATCGATTACAGCAAAAAAGTAATTCAGTTAGAAGAATTGTTACTCCTTAAAGAAAGTAATTGAAGGGTTACAGAGTTACAGTAAAATGTAATCGGTTACAAGTAATCTATTACTTGTAACGCGTTACGTACGGTGCGCCCCAAACTTAACGCCGCCACGAGATGGTTCGATTTCTTCACTTTTTGAGCTATTCCTGAACATAGCGGTCGAACGAGTTCGTAAAGATTTGCGTCCCCGAAGGAAACCCAACCAGGGGAAGGCATTCGAGCAGGTGCAACGAACAATGTATCTCTGGATACCATGAAATAGCTCAATATTTGCGTAACCGAGTGGCGGCGTTAAGTTTGAGGGGCACCGTATAAGTCTGCTCTGTTCCCCTTTGATTGGCGTGCTTCTCCTTCCATTCCGATGCTCCAAAGACGCATTTCGGAACACTTGCTCGCAGTATAGACGCTTTAAACACGCGCCCGATTCAGCCGCCATTGCCGACTTTCTCTTGCCGTACTGAGATGCCAAGTCACTGAAACGGACGATGACGAGTCTTTACAAAGACCTATGTTGGGGACAAGGACACAGTAGCACCTAAAGTGGCACTAACCTGTCCTGCTTTGGCGATGATGAAGCGAAGCGAACGGAATACGAGGAAACAAAAACTGAAGGTCGGTTGTGTCGGCGCCCATGCACAGCTGCCTGAAAGCGTCTATATTCTTTATTAATAATGGAAACGGGGCGAGTCCTGAACATTTGTTTTTAGCTTTGTAGGCAAGGAGTTGTCAGCATTTGGCAACAGGAAGTCTTAGGGAACTGTTTTTGCACATCGATAGGGTATATGGGCCCTAAGGTAGGAACTGCGTGTGTGCGAATATTCTGCGGTGGCATACGGGCACTTCGCACCGGAGAGCCTATCGTGCCCTATCAGATGTGCAAAAACGGTTCCCTCATACTCTCTAATATGAATGGACGAAGAACGATTTACGAAATAAGAAGCGTGAGTAAGGTACGACATGCCGTGAATTTTATTTTCGCTCTGAGTGACTGTAGGGAAGCCTCACGGTTCCCCATTGGTGCACCATTTTATGTGGTAGAACTGGGGATGTTTTCGCACATGTCCGTTCGACACAGCCCTAAAACACTCGCCTTTTCTACGAGACGGCATCATTAAATGTCTTGGTACGATGTCTGTGAGGCATCTAGAAAGAATTGAAGCTCAAAAACGTTTTTACTGTTTATCTCATTTGGAGAAGTGAGGCATAAAAAAAACGAAAAAAAAAACAAAAAAAAAACATGTTTTTTGACATGTCTAGCTTCCCCACACCAGCAGCGGAAACAGTTTGGTTACGCACAATATAAAAAAAAAAAAAATATAGCTGCACACAAAACATATAAAGCAATATGTTGGTGTTACTAGAAGAAACGAAGCAATCAATTAATCTAGATTTTTGTAATTCACAAAGCAGAGGAAAGCTTTTCTGCAACAATTCGGAGGCTTCCTTTAACCGCGCAGATTCGGGTTCTCAAAGCAATTGCGAACGCGGTTGTCTAAAGATCCAGTACAATTGCACGCGCATTTTATGTCATCAAATGCGCGTGCAATTGTACTGGATCTTTATACAACAGCGTTCGCAACCGCTTTGCGAACACGGATCCGCTTTCAGTCTGAATGAGCGGTAAGGGCTCATTCACACTGGAAGCGGATCCGCGTTCGCAAAGCGGTGGCGAACGCGGTTGTATAAGGATTCAGTACAATTGCACGCGCATTTGATGACATCAAATGCGCGTGCAAATGCACTGGATCTTTATACAACCGCGTTCGCAACCGCTTCGCGAACGCGGATCCGCTTCCAGTGTGAATGGGGGGTAAGGCCGGTTCTCTCAGCCAGCGAAACGCTGATGTAGCGCTGCTCACGTGTCGTCAGCTACTCATCGTCTGCCATGAGCGACAGTTTTGACGGTACGATACGAAGCTGTTGAACGCTCCCGCGAGCGCGCGCTGAGCTCAAGGTCAGCGCTATCCTTGTAGCGCACCGCTGCATGTGTGAACAAGCCTTTATGCTTCTTCCGGTTACGCGACGCATCGCCGCAAGATTTACCACCCAAATTGCATTATATACAGTGTATACACCGACGTATCTGCAGACTTTGAGTTCCATGTAACTTAATTACAGAGCCGCTTTGATAGAGGAGTCGCGATTTCAGCTCCAGAGCGAAAGAAATCTCACTGTTTTTGAACAACATGATGAGAGCAGCGGAAACAGACGGGGCAATTATTAAAGAGAACTACGCGGACAGGTGCTATGCATGGTCGATCTGGATCTCTGTGACTGTGATCTAACTCAGCAATCCCATTTTTTAATCTTTCAGACAAAAGGAGACAATTTGTGGTCATCTCTGAAAGAAATCTGGGTTCACGTTGCCGTCGTTGATTTCGTCGCTCGGTTCGAGGCGACCGGTTTTGGCGAACGAGAGACCCAGCTCCCGTCTTTGGAGGTGCTGCAGATCCACTTCAACACCACCTACAACAACGACCTCAGTCTCAACACCGAGCGCCAGATGCAGTTTAAGAACCACATCGAAGACAAGGTCAAGGAGACACTTCAAGAAAAGCTCTATGGCGAATACAAATCTCAACTGAGTAGAGCTCTGAGTCACAGCTTTTCTTGACATATAAGTATGTTTCATGGTTTTGTTTTGAATAAATAATTGAAACAATAAAACGCTAAAACTCAGAAATGCATGTAGTCGTTAATAAATAAAACATACAAAACTAAACTAATTTAAAACTAATAAAACATAAATCTAATTTAGCAAACTACGGGGGTGATTCAAGGAGACGCCAGGCTCTTTAAATCGACCGCAAAATTCGGTTTCTTAACCGAATTTTAAGAGACAGATACAATAGGCGCATTATCTAAGGAGGAGACGGAAACAATTGAGCCTGTGTTTTTAAAATGTAAGGAGCAATTAATCCTGCCCTTCCCGAAGGGGCGACAGACGTATCACTAGAGAGTTTTAGTAGATCGTTCCCATGACTCCGATAACGATACCCGATACTCCGCCACCGCCTCCCTTGCGCATGCATAGTATCGTTATCGGGGCTATCGGAAGTATCGGAACGATCTACTAAAACTCTCTAATGAAACTCGGCCTCGGTTTCGCTGGAGAACATCGAAGGGTGGATTATACTGAGTGTCCGAAGGAGCGGCCAGGCTCTTTCAATCGACCGCAAAATTCGGTGTCTTAATTCCTATCGCGCTACCATTTTCTGCAACGTTGCCCACAATTTGTTTTTGTGTGTGAAATTTGCAAAGAGCGAACTTACTTGAGGAAAAAGTGAAGAAAAAAAAAAGGTTTAGCTCCTATGGAAACGCAACGAAGCCACCGATCTTCAGACATTACGGCGCCGTTTCGCACGGGAGACAAGAGGTGGCGCAAGCGGTCGCGACGCCAACTGCCGCCAATGAACGAGCATACGGTGCAAAGTGCCGGCCTCTTTAGCAGACGATCGTTTCGACTCAAAAGCGGCGCGCGTTCCGCAGGCTACAGTGGCTTAAAGGGGGTAGTGTAACGAACGAAACCGGAGAAGCGGCACAGCGTTGGAAGACGGCCGAGGGTGGCGCTCCGGCTATGGCTCCGGCTTGGCCGCTTGGTCAGCTTGGCTCCGGCCGGCTCCGGCCGATTAGCAGCTCGACTACACTGTCGTCTGCTAGTTTCACAGTTTTATTCTCCTTCAAACATAAATCATGTCGTTTGAAGTTCGCTGGAAACAAATAATTGTTTTTGAGGTATTTATATTAGTTATTAAGCGCGTTAGGGTGCCTCTATCTGCCGGCCGATTGAGCCACCCAACGGAGCTGCGGATCAAAGCGCCACCCACATCGTCTACCAAGGAGCGGCCGTTCGCGATGCATGGTGGAGGCTACGCGATAACCACACTACCCCCTTTAAGCCACTGTACGCAGGTGGTGGAAGTCCCAGAAACCAAAACAGGCGCGGTAACAACAAGGAACTGCAAAGCATACGACAAAAGCACCACGAAAAAAATCAGTCAAAATGACCCGAAAAAAACATTTTTTTAATCGATTATGTTTCCATTTAAAGTGTTTTATTAGTAAGGATGATAAAATAATGGATTGGCAACTGATATAAAAAAAGCTTGCGCCGCTATTGAGTCGAAAAGATCTTCTGCTAAAGACGCCAGCTCTTGGCGCCGTATGCTCGTTCGTTTGCGGCAGTTGGCGTCGCAACCGCTTGCGCCATCTCTTGTCTCCCGTGCGAAACGGCGCCATATTGTTTGAAGACCGGTGGCTTCGCCGAGTTTCCATAGAAGCTAAGCCTTTTTCTTTCTTTACTTTTTCCTCAGGTAAACTCGCTCTTTGCAAATTTCGCAAAAAAAAAAAATGCACCATCTGTGGGCATCGCTGCACTATATAAGCGCGATAGGTTAAGAGTCCGAATTTTGCGGTCGATTTAAAGAGCTTGGCCGCTCCTTGGGATACCCAGCAGATGAGTAGAGGCAACGAAGAGGAGGTTGGAGTGCTGGTGAAAATTATCTAGGGATATCTCAACGAAGTACAACTAACTAGCACAGCTGGGGGCAGGTGCGACAGAGGAAAATTGAGACTTCCTCCCGCGTGGCTTTGACCCGAAGTCTGAACCCTGTCCTCCAGTGAGACTGGTTAATGTGACGCCGACAAGGTTTGACCAGAGGAAAATTGACGACTCCACCGGTGAGAGGAGAAGCAGGAGATGATGTTTTTAGTTGTTTTTGTTTGCCCCATCCCTCAAAGGTATGCCAGGCGATCATCTTCATGACCTGGTAATACCTGCAGAAAGGGATTGGCTTGAAAGGTGAAATAAGGTTTGTGTTGTTGTTTTTAGGCTAGGTGGCGCAAGCTAACCGCCGGCATAAAGGGTACAGCCGTTATTATCCATCCATCCGTCGATCCGTTTATTTGGACTTAAGCAAAGCCTTTGACTTTGCGCACCATGATATATTAGTGCAGAAGCTATCGGAGTGCGGAGTGTGTTTGCCGTTATGTTTGTGGCTCAGACATCTATTTTTCTGGGCGCACTAATAACGTTCGCGTTAACGATGTGTTATCGAGATGTACATATAATTATATGGCGTCTCTCGGCGTTCCATTTTAGGACCCTTGTAGTCTCGTATTTTTGACAATTATCTCTTTCATTGTGTAAAACATTTAAAATTGCTTCAGTTCGCTTATGATGTTAAGATCTTCAAACAGATCTTATTATACGAGGATTACAAGCTGCTGCAGGAGGAACTAGCTGCTATCTCGTTAGTGTGTGGTTAACGAATATTACTTTTAAACGGGGGTCTTCAAACGTTTTGGCTAAGGGCCGGATGGAGAGCCTGTCGCAATCTCTATAGCCATAAAATCAATACGACAATTTAAATGAAGTAATAGTAAATACATCAACCTTAAAACCATTAAGACAAAATAAGGAACGCGGGAATTCATATACTTTAGTTTGAAAGTCTCTATGTAGCTAAGCAGGCATCACATCGCAAATAACTCCAAACAATAAATCAAAGCGCATGTAAACTACGGCATATTCATACGAGCAGAAGACATGTTACTGGTGCATGGGATGATGACAATATGCGTGAGTTGTGTAGCAGGACGTTACGCTCTACAGCGATGGAGAACGCAAACGAATTTAATTCCGTACGTAACGTTAGATATGTAATGGCGTGACATCCGTTCGTGATGCACTCTTTCATGCACTCTAAAGTGCGCCCTCAGATATGGCGTTCAGTGAATACCCTCTATGCAGCAAGTTCACAGGTGTTCCTGTTCATGTCACAGGACATAGTTAACTTTGATGCAACATTCAGAAGAAGAAAAAAAAAAAAAACACTTTACAGCCATTTAGCAGGGAAACATTCTTGCTACATTTAGCGGGAAATGAATGTGCACTCCGTGCGCAGGACATTCTTACATAGGACAGAGAGTGCACAACGACATGGAGCTAGAAGCGGAGGTATGGAGATCGCTTGCTATAGCTTCTTCCAGCACCCCAGCACGGTTCCACGCTTCATGCTTCTGTGTCACCATCACCATGGAATTATCATAGAACTCGCAGCCGTGACATGAGACTGCGCTCTGCACTGTATTTCTGATTTCGAGCTCCTCTCTCCCTTTTATCCTCGCCCACATTTTCTCGCCAGCTGGGCGCAGGGAGCGTTTGCAACCTATCTCACCGGCAGGGCTTTGAAAACGTTTGTTCTCGCCGGACCTGTCAGTCGCCTCCCGCTTATTTAGTTACCCCACTCTCTATGCGATCTGGGCGATAGTATGTTCAGAAAACGAGATCACATGTTGCAAGACTCATAGTTGACTGGTCTCACGAACATGTCACTTCCGCCTCTGTGCCAGCTTTTTGTAACTAGACCATAGGGGCTCTAGGCTGCCTTCATGTGCGCTTTGCTTAGGGTGGAGACATCTGGCCATTTTGTTCCCACTTTTACATTTATTTTTTGTTCAGAAGCCCGTGAAAGAGCGTGTCCCTGCACGCGTCTGTGGCGCTGACTGTGCTATGGCGACATTTTGTTTTCATCGATTTCTTTGTATTTTCCCCGTGAGCGCGTGCTTTCGGCATCGGGTACTACAAAGGGTGGCATCACTCTAAACAGAAGGTCACTTAGGCACCCTAAAGGCCTGTTCACACATGCAGCGGAGCGCAACAAGCGTAGCGCTGACCTCGTGCTAAGCACGTGCCAACGGGAGCGTTCACCAGCTTTGTATCGCACCGTCAAAACTGTTGCTCATGGCATACGATAAGTACCTTACGGCACGTGAGCAGCGTTGCATCAGCGCTTCGCTGCATGTGAGAACCGGCCTTAAGGAGCTCAAGGTGGCACTGCTACCGGCACATTGATTACCCTCTGCTCGGTTGTCGCGAGACCGCCCTCGCCCTGTGCGATGGTCACAACCTACCGCAAAACATGTCTGCTTTGCAGGGACGTTTATGGAATACTAATCTGAAGGTGTCAATGTTCACGTGTTTGACTTCTTGTTTTGTCAATACAATCTCTCTAAACCTACAACAGACTTTACATTCGTATATGTAGGGGTGATCGGTGACACGACTATGTTGACGCTCTAAAGCACATGTAGCACGCGCTGACGCGCTGAAGCACACACCTCGCATTGTAGAACGTAGGCACCCTGAGTTCAATCCCATTCCCTTCCCGTCTGGATCTCGATGAAGATATAGTGCTGACGTGCGTTGGTGTATCCCTAGTGCCAAATTCATGTTAAAGACCCTTGGCTTAGGGGGCATGCCACGTCAGTCAGTAAGCGATTGACGGCATTTTTACAGTACTGTACTTTTGAGTTGCACTATGACAATGTCAACAATGAAAAAAGAAAAAAAAAAAGATTGGTTACCGAGTGGGTTAGCGCACACCAGCTCGGAGCACATGGAGCGAAAGCTCGCGCTGCAGAACCCAGGGATCCTGGGGTCAATCTCTACCCCTGCCCATTTCGATCTGGATGAGCATCGTACCGGCGTGCTTTCGTGTATCACTACTGCGTGGTACACGACCGCACGCCAACCAGAAATTAGCGGTTGTACCACACTGGCTAAATTGCTCATCTACAGCTGAGACACCAGACACCCACTGGGGCAGACCAACTTCCGGCTGTATGAACATACACGCAACAATTTGCTTTGTTTTACCCCAGGCTTAAGGTGGTACTGCG